TTTATTTATTTATTTATTTATTAATAGACAATGTATCTCTAAATGAACTGTTTCGAGGTGACCCTTTTAGCCTGTGACAGCTTGTTTACTAGAGCAAAGGGCATATAAAACACATGAGTTGTTCCCAGTGTAGGTGTTTATAATTTGTTTTGATAGATTTTTATCAGTGAGTGTTGATATAAAGTATAAACAAGATTTCCATGCAAATAAAACATGTTAAAGAATTTTTGAGCTGGGTGTAGTGGCATGCACATTAATGCCAGCATTCAGGAGGCAGAGGCAGAGACAAGCAGATCTTTGTGAGTTCAGGGCCAGCCAGTTCTCTATATAGCAGGCAAGCCAGGGCTACATAGTGAGACTCTGTCTCAGAAAACCAAATTAAAAAGAATTTGTGGTCAGAGGAGATAGCTCAGTTGGTAAAGTGTTTGCTATACAAGCATGAGGACCCGAGTTTGATATCCAGAACCCACATTAAAAAAATACTTGGGCCAGGTGTGGTGGCGCATACCTTTAATCCCAGCACTCGGGTGGCAGAGGCAGGCGGATCTCTGTGAGTTCAAGGCCAGCCTGGTCTACATAGTGAGTTCCAGGACAGCTGGGGCTACAGGGAGACCCTGTCTCACAAAGACCAAAAAAAAAAAAAAAAAACCTTGGTTGTGGTAGTGTGCATTTGTGAACCCAGTTCTGGGAAAGCGGAGACAGCTAATCTTGTAGCCAGCCTAGCCTGCTTAGTAAGTTCTAGGTCTACTAGAGACCCTGTCTGAAATAAAATGTGAGTGGTGTCTGAAGAAGGACTCCTAAGGTTGTCAAGCATACTCATTAATGACCACACTTCACCTGCACATACACGAACATGGACACACACATACACAAAAAACTATTTGCTTTTTGTAAATGTTTATTTCTTTGCTTCCTATACAAATTAGCATGAATCTTCAGTGTTAGTATAGTAACTAAAGTAGATTCTCTGGAAGACATGAATAGTACTTTCAACCATCTCTATACAATTGCATTAGTAGAGATCTTGCTGTGTTGCACAGGCTGGTCTTGACCCCATGGTTTGCCTTCCTGAGCTTCCTGAATGCTGGGATTAATGGCGTGCAACACAATGCCAGGATAAGACTGTACTTTTCGATGAGACAGTTTTGTTTCTTTGAGTTTTTAGTTATTTGTGATTTGATTTATTGCTCTAAATAGACACTTTACTTTTCTTACAGGTTGGAGTCAAAAGACAGTTGAGGGAAATAAAAGACAAGCAAAATGAAAGCCCTCTTAAGAAGCAGCACCCCAGTCGTGGGGTTTCTAAAAGCTACATGAGGTTAGTGACTGACTTTAGAAGTAGGTTAATGTAGAATTCAGGTAAGTATAGCTGTAGATAAATGAGTACAGAAATTCAAGAGCTTCTATTTTTACCTTTCTGTACATATATACAGTGTACTGTGATTATCTTCACCACCCATTGCCTGCTGTTGTTCCCTTCCCACTCCTTCTCAGCCTCCCCTTACCAGTGAGTGCCCTCTTACTTTGACTGATTGTTTTAGCCGTTGTGTTTAATTACAGTTGTCTGTATAAGCATAGGTAAGGGGTTGCTTGCTGGATCTTGGGCAGTTATCAGTGGCTACTCAAGTGAAAAAAATGATTGCCTCTTCTCTGTCAATCATTAATTGCCTCATGAGCCCCTTTCATTCATGATGGAGTGTTGAAGGGCTCAGTCTTGTTCACAACCACAACTGCTCAGTGTTCACAATTGCAAAGCTCTGTCATATCTAGAAGACAGTGTTTTGTAGCACTTCTTGCCATCTTCTGACTTCTACATTTTCTGTTCTTTCTTCTGTGATGTTCCTTGGGTCGTGGTGTCTGTCTGTGTCTGTGTGTGATCCAGTTTAGGACTGAGCACTCAACACTTGCTTATTTTTGGCACTTTGATCAGTTACGAGTTTTTGGCATTAACTGTCACCCACTTTAAAAAGAAGCTTCTCTGATTAAGACTGAGAACAACACTAGTCTAGGGATACAAACATGTCCATTTAGCAAAAAAACTGTAGTAGATTACGTTCTGGGGCCTGTGACTTGTGGAGACAAAGGCTTTTGACTAGGTTTACAGTACCAGGCTCAGACCCTCCTGTGGAGTATCCTCAAATCCAACCAGAAAGCTGTTGGTTATCCCCAGACAATCATGCTACTACTGCACCAGTGTCATAACTTGCCTGGCAAGTTGGTATTATGTCATGCAGAATCCACAGCAGGGTAAGACCATTGATGGCTTTTCTCCCCCAGTGGTATGCATAGCACTTCCCAGCAGAGTGGAAGCTTCCATCTCAGTTTCAGCTTGATTTCTCTGCAGCCTGTAACTGAAGTATGTGGTGGTATCTTTGGCAGTAAGGTTTTACTATCCAGTTCTGGTGGTCAGCCAATAGTAATGGCCATAGCCTGCATTGTTTTGGGAGCTTCAGGGGCCTCCTTGGCCACTAACTCATAGGGAAGTATCCCATGCCTGGCACTGGGATTTTCGTTTAAAAATGTATAGCATTCTGGGAACAGCATTATTCACTCATACAGGGTCCCTCCATTCAAGATCTTTCAAAATTTTTCTTTTTATTTTTATTTTACATGTATAAGTGTTTTGCCTACATGAATGAAAGTGCACCTGTGTTGTGCAGTATCCACTGAGGCCAGAAGAGGGCATTGGATCCCCTGGAACTAGAGTTATGGAAGGTTTTTAGCTGCCCTGTGTGTGCTGGGAACTGAACCCGTGTCTTCTGCAAAAGCAGCCAGTGAGTGCTCTTAAACACTGAGCTATCTCTCCAGCCCATCAAAAATATTTTAATTATGTATTTCTTTAAACCTTTCCATGTCTCATATTCCCTTCTACTTCCATATCACATGTGTTCCATTCCCACCCTCTTTAAAATTAGACTCTTCAGTGACCCCTGCCTCTATGATTCCTGAATTTTATAGACACTCCAACTTAAACAGAGACATCTAAAAAGTTGAAGCTAGGAAAAGGTCATGTTTTACCTCTGACCCTGGGTTGCCTCAGTCAGTATATTTTCTAGTTCTATCCGTTTTCCTGCAAATTTCATTTTTCTTCAGTGCTGAATAAAATTCCATTGAAGCACATTTTGAAAATTGTGCTTTAAAATACTTTCACATAAAAAATTATGTTCATTTATTTTGTGTGTATGTATGCTTATGTGTGTGGGTTTGTATATGCCATGGCTTATATGAGGAGGTCAGAGGACAGTTTACAGGAGTTGGTTCTCTCCTTCCACCTTGAGGGTTCAGAGTATTGGGTTTGGTGGAAAGGACCCTTACCCACTGAACCATCTCTGGTCCCTACTACTTTGAAAGCAGACATTTGGCTATTTTAAGAAAGGATCAGTTATAGTCTGAGAATATAATTTGAACTATCTTTGGTAAAGACTTGTTTTTTTTTTTTTTTTTTAATTTTTTTTCTCCTAATCTTTTTTAAACCAGAACTTTAAAAAAATAAAAATGGTATAGATATTTAAAACTTCTGATTGCTTATTCTCTTTCTTGTACTGATCATAAAACAGTAGCAGTTAATAAGCACTGGTGTCTACCCCATGTTTTGATGAGCATTGATCTGTCTCAAAAGGGCAAAGAACTAATGACAGAGTACAGCTGATTATCTGAGGCAGTTTCACTGAAACTGCTCCTTTTCACAGTTTTCATTCCTCCTCTTCTAGCAGGCATGTGCTGCCTACCAGAATTAAAATTCAAACATTTCCAAAGGAAAATGTAAATTTTTAAAAATGGCTTTCTTCTTTTCTCTGTATTTATTTGTTTGTTTTTATTTTTAGACAGGGCTTCACTGTGTAGCCTTGGCTGGGCTGGAACTTGTTAGGGAGACCAGGCTGCCAACTCAGACCAGTTGGAATGAACTCACAGAGATCCGCCTGCCTCTGCCTCCCAAATGCAGATTATAGGCATGGACTATTGTGCCCCGCTCAAAAATCGCTATTGTTAATAAAATTGTTGCCCTGTTCTAATAGTATAGTTATCTAGAAATACAGTGCATAACACCTGAATTTAACAGGAAATTAGCACTTTTTTCACTAAGTTGAACATTGGTAGTATATTGGAAATTAATGTGTTAATAAATAAAACGCCGAATATATTTAAATACTTAATCCTGTTTTGATGTGAAATTTATTTAGAGCTGTCCAGAATTTGTATTTTTAAAAAAAATTTAAAAATTTTTATTTTTACTTTGTATGTATGAGTGTTTTGCCCGCATACAAATACTCCATGTGTGTGCCTGGTGCCTGTGGAGTCTAGAAGAGGACATCGGATCCCCTAGAAGTTAAGGATGGGTGTTAGCTGCCATTTGGGTGCTGGGAACTGAACCTGGATCCTCTGCAAGAGCAACCAGTGCTCTTAACCACTGAGCCATCTACAGCCCTCAAGATTTGCATTTTTAAGTCAGTGCATTGCCACATTCTTAATAAAACACATAATTTATTAGTTCATTTCATCAAAATACTAATTTTGTAAAGACAGTGTGTTTGGTTACTAAGACAGTTAATGGTTCCTGAGATGGAGATTTATTGAACCTGCCACTCATTAATAGCATGATGGATCCTTAGAGCTTAACACACGGACTTGAGAATGTGAAGAAAGCTGTAGGGTCCTTCCAGAGATAAAAATAGCAACAGGCATGGATATTTGCATACAGTTTTAAGGTATTCATGGAGTGCCAGAGTTTCAGAGTTATGCCTACATTAGAACAAATTTTACACCTTTGTGAATTAGCTTTGAAACTTGCATATATGTTTGCATAATAGATAACATTAGCAAACTTCTCATAGGTGTAGTGAAAAATAACTTTTGATAGATTAATTTTGTGTGTCTGTGTCTGTGTCTGTGTCTGTGTCTCTCTTTGATAGCTTAATGATGGACAGCTCTTACACTGGCTGTGACAGTGTCCTGGCTATGCATTTTGTGTTCTCTAAGAATTATCTAATTCCCCTGATTTTGGCAGAGTGTATCTGGTCATCACTGTATAACTTGTGAGGCTTGTATCTTGTTCAAGTCTAATGCAGCTGAGGTAGTTCACATGTATAACTGCTTTTTCTCAGAGAATTGTGATTGGAGAATAGTAACACATAGGCTACATTCAAGTCTGCCTCTTATAATCCTATAATGCAACTCCAGTTTAAGTCATTGGGGGGAGAATGTTAATGGAATGAGAAGTGGCATTTATTCATGCTTTCATTGCTAGAATTTTCTAATAGCCTTAAAACAAATCCTCACACTGCTATTCAACATGGCTCAGTAGCCTTAGTCACGATGAGCCAGTAAGAGTGCTGTTTTACGACTGAGATGGCACAGCTCATTGTATATGAAGTCTAGTTTAGCATATTATTAGTTTAAGAGAATATTGAACCATTTACTAACCACTCCAGGATTATCAGTAAAATTTATGCATAAAAGATTTCATTGTGATGGACAGTGAATTGAAAATAAGTGAACAAAATGATAGTCTTTTTAACCCTTTTAAACTTTTATTAATATTTACAGAAAAAGAAACATCATAAGAGAAGATCTATTATGTGAAAGATTTTATGACTTGATGTTATATAGTAAGTAACTCTTTGCTTCTGTATTTTTTTCTCCCATTTTAATGGTTTGTGCCAGAGTTCTCAGTAATATTTTGATTTGGAAAATAGTTGAGAATGGGAACCCCTCAATGCTCCACAGTGTACCATGTGAGGGAAAGGGTTGGGGAGAATGTGTCAAGAGAAAAGGTTTCCTAGATACTTGGTGTTTAGTAACTTGCATTGTGATCTTTTATTATCTATCTAGGGGAGGTAGAACAATACCTGTGGGCCAGTATCTACCTAGAGGGGTAGTAAGAGAAGTCTGTAACAATCAGAAACAAATTCACAGCCACACTTTTCACTTGAAGGTTTGTTTAGAAATAAAGGACCCTTGAACTCCATGAGCAGTTAAATGGTCCTTTTTTTTTTTTTCTTTTTTTTTCTTTTTTTTCAGTCTGGTGCTTGAAGGCTTTAAGATAGGGCATGATTTGAAGGCAGTATCCATAGTAGTTGTAGTGCTTTTCAACTCTTTTCTTGGGCTTCAGGCTGTTTTTATTTTCAGAGAATCCCCCCCCCCCTTTTTTTTTTTTTTTTTTCCTTTTTGAAAAGACAAGGTCTCCCTTCAGAGAATACTTCTTACTATGAGTTGTTTGTATTCCAGGAAGGGAGCATGTGTATTTTCCAGGCTAAGTAAGGCAGAGCATCTGACTGTATATTATATTTCAAAGGCGAAACTAACAGAATTTTCTGGTTGATTGAATGAATAGACAGGAAAGAGGAAAGTCAAAGTTTAATCCAAGGTCTTGACCTGACCAACTGGTAAAACAAAAGTTGCTATGTTGAAGTGAAGGCCAGTAGGAGAAATGGGAGGTCTAATAAAAAATCCTCATTGGGGAATATAGTGGTGGACGCTGGGGATGAGGAGTAGGGAAATGGGAAAGTGTTGGTCAGGGGATACAGGGATTCAGTGATGCAAGGTGTTATGTATGTACTGAAGACCTAAAGTACAAAAGTGTGAATATAATTACCAGTACTTTATCACATCCTTGAAATCTGCTAAGATGGTAGATCTTAAGTGTTATTACAAAAAGAAAAAAAAAAAACTGTGACATGAATATATTAATTAGCTTGATTATGATATTTATTTCACAGTGCATATTATATGAAAAAGGGTGTATAGTATACCTTTATATATGCGGTTTTCCTTGTGAATTATACTTTGGTAAGCATGGGTGAAAATTTTTTTTGTACTTGTAAGAGGTCTCCTCCAATAGAGATACCCTGAAGAAATGCCAGTGCTTACTAGTGTATAGACCTATTCATCTTCAGGCTGTCTTAGTGGTGACCACTTTATATTGGTTTATTGTGCTTGGGCCTTAAATTGATGAGCTTTTCCAATGATCATCTATTTCTTCACTTCTTCTCTTTAGTTCAAAGTGACCATGGTGCTAATACTGGGAAATAAATAATACTAGACAGGAAAATTGAGATCATAGAGAATGTTGACGAAAAAATACTAAAATTTCTCTATGTTGTACCTGTTGTGATTTGTAATGAGGAATGAGTGAGCAAGCAAACTCCATTAAATGTCTCTGGATACAGTCTGGTGAAATCAAGTTTTGGAAAACTAGCTTGGTAAGGTATTTCAAAAGAGCAAGAAAAATAGTAACTTCTAAGAAAGTCTCTAAAGTTGTAAAAGAGGGGGCACTAAAATTAGCCAACTGTCCTGACTTTTGCTGCTGTTTTTCTTTACAACTTACTTACTGTATCTTTTATTTGATCAGTACTAGGGAATTAATTTTCTCACATTTAATTTTAATGTCTGCAAAAAGTGATTCTGGGGTCTGGAGAGATGGCTCAGCAGTTAAGAACACTGGTTGTTCTTGCAGAAGATCGGGTTCGAATCCCAGCACCCACATGGCGGCTAAAAACTGTCCGTAACTCCAGTTCCAGGGTTCCAACAGCCTCTTCGGATTGCATGATACAGGTGCACTCACCTACACGCAGGCGATACACGCATACACATAAAAATAATAAAATACATTTTTTTAAAGTGATTCTGGCCGGGCGTGGTGGTGCACGCCTTTAATCCCAGAGGCAGAGGCAGAGGCAGAGGCAGAGGCAGATGGATCTCTGTGAGTTCAAGGCCAGCCTGGTCTACGTAGTGAGCTCCAGGACAGACCCTGTCTCAAAAAGACCCCCCCTCAAAAAAAAAACAAAAAAGTGATTCTGGTTTAGTTCTTTAAAATCACTGTTGGCCGACCAAGCAATAATTTTCCTTACTGCCTGGAAAAATACTATCATTAAATTTGGAAAATAGATGGTAGCAGTTTGAAAAAAAAGTTCCTAAACACTTGTGACATTTTATCTTTGGCCCTTTATTTAGAGTGGGAATAGTGGAGGAAGTTAGACATGGGTGCCAATATTGCTCACAGTTGGTGAAATCCAAATACTTCATTAGGGAGCCATTAATTATAATGTTCTTCTGTAGGATTTCTGAAGAAAACACAGTTCCTGATAGTACATACACAGGGTGATGTATGAAAATGTGGAAACTGACAAACTTAGGAATTGAAGAGGAATTAGAGATGTCAGGTTCTGTATGTAAAAGGAAGTTTCAGTAATATTGTAGCCAGTTTATTTTGATTTTATACTAATTAAAAAATTTCTGATTCAAAAACAGGGGGCTGGAGGCTGGAGTGGTAGCTCAGCAGTTAAGAGCATTTCCTGTTCTAGAGGACCCTGGCTTAGATCCCAGTACTTATATGGTGGCCGACAACCTTCTGTAACTCCATTTCTAGGGGATCTGACTCATGCACGTGGTATACGTACATGCAGCAAAACACTGATGCATAAAATGAAAAAACAAACCGCCTATGTTTGTATACAGTCTCCATTAATTTCCTAGATCTGCCATAACAAGTAATACATAGTGTCTTGAAGCAAGCAGCATCTCACTGTGCACAGACTGAGTGTTGCAGGCTCATACTTTTGTGGTGTATCTTGAGTACTTTCTTCTGCTTGTGTTACATCTTGGATGATGCTGACAATTCCTGATTTGTAGCTGTATTACTACAGTTACTCTTGTCTTTACATAGCCTTGTCTCTGGGTTGTACCCTGTAGCTCTCATGTTGCTTATAAGAACACCCTGACTTGATTTAGGGCCACCCTGATCTAGTATGAGCTCATGTTGATCTTTAATCTGAATTGGTTTGCAGAGAGCCTTTTTCCAATAAGGCCATTTTCTGAGGTTTCAAGTGCATATGCATTTTAGGGGGATCCTATTTAGTACACTAAAAAAAAAGCTAGAAGACCTCTTCCAATAACTGTCAAGCAAAATCTGTAAATGATAAGAAACCACTGTGACCTAGCTCTGGAATCCAGATTATATTCTCTAACCACTGTTTCTCAGTTAAAGAACCAAGTTTAAATAAAATATTAAAAAATTAAATGCATGGGTGTGATACCACCAATTTCAGAGAAATAATTTTCTCTAGTAAAAAAGCTGAGACAGCAGGAAGGGACAGGTGATGGGCTGTGTTGTCAGTACGCACAGCATAAAGCAGAATGGCTACATATTTTATTAAGTCTGCTCTATAGGTATCATTTTTATGTAATGTTCAAAACCGACCATAATTGTAAACTTTAAATCTTTTAAAAAGATAATCATTTGTCTAAGATTACATTGCTAGTGATTGGAGCAGTCAGCACTCTAATTCCACATTCAGTTTGCACTTCCACAAAAATATGGTTTACTAATGATACATTAAGCTTTACTTCGTGGTTGTTTACAAGCTTAGTTATTGCCTTTTGCTCATGGCTTTTGTTTGTATTTTGGAGCCAAAAAGAAAAAAATTCTTGTAATACCAGCTTAATTATTTTCATAGTAAAAGAGCTCTTTAATTAACCATTATTTTTGTTTTACCTTTCAGAAATGTGATAGGCGTCTGTCCATCAGCAGTCTGTGGATCACAGCTTTAAGAATAGTACCACTAAGAGTTTTGTTTTGTTTTTGCGGTAGGGTCTCACTTTGCAGCCAGGCTGGCTTTGAACTCTAAATTGTCAAGTGCTGGAATTAAAGGCACGAACCTGTCCAGCTAACTCCCTTTAAGGGTTCTAACCTTTAATTTTCACATTCCTTATGAGGCTTCTTGGGTAATGTTAACAAATTGTTCAATTAGAAAACTCTTGAGAGGGGCTGGAGAGCTGTCGCAGCGTTTAAGAGCACTGACTGCTCTTGCAGAGGACCTGGGTTCGATTCCTAGCACCCACATGGTGGCTGTGAACTATCTTTAACTCCAGTTCCAGGGGAATCCGAAGCTCTCTTCTGACCTCTGCAGCATTGCATGACATGAGTGCACTCACATACATGCAGGCAATACAGTCATACACATAAAATAAAAATAGTTAATAAAATATAAAAAAACCGCTAAGAGAACCTATGAATGTTACTTGGCATTATCTTAAGGGCAGTAATAACCTATCATACAACATAGAAGCAACCTTAGACCCCTTACGTGTCATCATTTCATGATTAAGTTAATTAAGATGAAGATAGAATTAGTAGGAGATTGTACAAATTTTTACTCACCTAGCTACACTAAACAGAAAGCATAGCATACTTGAACGAATAAATTTCTTGTTATAGAAGAACCTGTGAAAATGTTATCTGTCTCTACTTAGGATTGCTTGGCTTTTTACGGGAAGTTAACCGTTCTGTTGTAGTACTTTAATAATAAAATGTAGGAAATTAGGAAATTCTTATATCTGGATCAGCAATTACTAGCATAGCTTGTAAGTATTCTATAATATTGATGAAGGGTCAACAGACCTAAGAGTTAATTTTATTGGGAGTCAAGACACTTGGGTTTTGAGGTAGCTTTTTCCATTAAAACTGTTGTGAATCTAATAAAATGGTTTCCTGATACACTGAAGATGGTGTTGCTTTGAGTACATATTGTGAAATGTTACACACTAGATGTGTTGGTGAATTTCTTAAATGTCACTTTCATTTTTTTCATTATTCTAAATAATAGTAATGGAGGGTTTTTTGTTCTTGTTTTTACCGTTTGTAACTTCCTTTATGTATAAATTGAGTGGTCCTTTCTCAACTGCTTAGGAACAGAGGTTTCGGTTCTTAGACTTTTGGGGTTTGGAATATTTGCATAGTCTGGTTGAGCAAGTGTGCTACCAAGCTCGTCTCATGAAATAGACGGTAAATTTGGTTTGTTAGTGATCTAGTTAATATTACATTCAGTTAGGCTCTCAGTCCTTTGTTGGGCAGGAATAAAAATAAAGTCATTAACATATGTCTGATCTCAAACATTCCCATATACCGTTTCTCAATTACGTTAGAGCATGTGTATACTTCACTGTAGTATTCTAATATTGCAATGTCAAGTGTTAATATATCAAGATAACAAGGAGGGAAGGCAGAAAAATAAGATAGGTAGGCAGGGGCATGAAGAAAAAGATGTGTATCTTTCATTTTGGTTTTTTTTTTTTTAATCTGGAAACAAAAGATGTCAAAGTAGAGATGTTGTTTATAGAAAAAATGGTAAAGCTGGGCAGCGTGACATAGACCCATAATCCCAGTACTTGGGAGTCTGAGGCAGGAGGATTGCTAGAAAATCTAAGCTACATTGTTGGCTACATTAGTATTTCTTTGTGGGGGGTGTCTTTCTGAGAGACAGGGTCTCTCTGTAGCCCCAGCTGGCCTGGAACTTGCTATGTAGACCAGGCTGGCCTCGAACTCACAGAGATCTGCCTCCCAAGTGCTGGGACTAAAGGCATGGGCTGCCACACCTGGCTTCATGGGCTACATTATAAGTTCAAGGCCAGCCTGGGGTATAGGGTGAAACCTTGTCTCAAAAGAAAACAAAAAAGAAATAGAAGGCAGACATTAGACGAAAAAGCCAAAGGATTTGGTAGTACATGCTTTTGATATGTAAAAATCAAGTGTAGGTAGTCCTGCACCATTCTAGAGAAATTGAAGATATATCACTGCTGTTTTAAAGGCAGGTTAGAAAACCACAATTTAGAGAAATTCACCAGTGTTGGATACTTGAAAAGAGTCATTGGAACCACTGAATACTTAGCATTTGTTAGTAAACTAAAAACTTTCCACAGAGCAGTTTGGCTAATGATGGCTTCCTGGGGGAGGCTTCCAAGACAAAGATCTTAGGTACAATGTATATATTTATTAAGTATTGAATGAGTCAGAACAGTTCAGCACTCTTGGGGCATAAAGGACACAGTGTAGCTACAGCACAGCAATTCTCTCTGGTGAACAAAATGCCTATTTCTAAGCTGTAGCTGGAATCTGCCTCACATTTTCTATCGTTGGCTTCTTAAGAAATTTAAAAACCATTGTATCACTTTTCATTCACACATTAAAGTGTATAAAAGTAAGTTCCTGAATCATAACCTTGTCCCCAGCATTTGTGTTTTTTTCGTACCAAGAATGTGTATGACATGCTGGTGAAGGACAGATAATATCTAAACCAAAAAACTACCGTGTGGTAACATAAAAGAAATTAGTATGCTTTTAAGTAGAAGGTGCACTATTACCAGCTGTATAAACAGAGAAAACTGAATATGTACTGTCTTGCAGTAGCAGGAAACTTTGTCCCTGTGATTACTTTTTGGGGGGTGGCGCAAATGATCAATAGACATTTTGTGAAGCAAGCAAAGCTGAAGACTAAAAGATGTCATTTGCAGTGTAGATGTTTTCTAGAGTTCTGAGGAAATAGCACTGAGAGTATCTGCAGCAGTTTGTGAACCATAAATATATATTGACAGGCTTAGTGGGCTGGGGAGATAGCTCAGTGGGTTAGAGCACTTGCTGTGCAAACATGAGGACTTGGTTTTGAATTCCTAGCACCCACATGAAAGCCAATCAAGGCTGCATGCCTGTAATCCCAGTATTTGGGGTGGAGACAGGCAGATCCTGGGAGCTCATTGACCAGTCAGCCTGGCTAAAACGGTGAGCTTCAGGTTGTGTGAGAGACCCTGTCTCAAGGGAATAAAGTAGAGATGATAGATGAAGGCACCTGACATCTTCCTCTGGCCTCTGTGTGCATGTGTACAGACACACACACACACTCACAAGAAGCTTGTTGATGAAGGAAAACTAAGAGCAGTAATCTATAAGGATGTTAAAAGCATACTTTTCGTTAATCCTTAAGTTATCCTTTATAAGGGGCTGGAGAAATGGCTCAGTGGTTAAGAGCATGTACTGCACTTGTAGAGGACCCAAGTTCAGTTCCTAGCATTCACATTTGGCAACTCAACTCCAGGGAGTCTGATGCCTCTGTGCTCCTCACATGCATGTAGACACACACACCTACACATAATTAAAAATACAAATAAATTTTTTAGGCTGGGCTTGGTGGTCCATACCTTTAATCCCAGCACTTGGGAGGCAGAGGCAGGTGGATCTCTTCTGAGCTCAAGGCTATCCTGGTCTACAAATCGAGATCCAAGCCAGCTGGGGCTACAGGGATACCCTGTCTCACAAAGACCAAAAATAAATAATTTGGAAAGAATATATATACTTAATTCAATTTTTAAGTGTGTGTGTATTTGGGCACATGAGTGTAGTGCCCAGAAGAGGTCAGAAAAGGGGATCACAGCCTCTGGAACTGGAGTTCCAGGCAGTTGTGAACCGCCTGACATGGGTGCTGGCAATTGAACTCAGGTCTTCTGCAAGATGGGAGTAGTATGTGCTCTTAAGCACTGAGCCATATCTCCAACTCTCTTTGTATTCCTTTTTTTAGAGACAGGGTCTCCCTGTAGCCCTAGCTGGCCTGGAACTCTCTATGTAGACTAAGCTGGCCTGATCTCACAGAGATCTGCCTGCCTCTGCCTCTGAAGTGCCTGGCTTGTTTTGTATTTCTTAATCTGACAGCACTCAAAAGTATTTTCCAGATGAGACAAATCAAAAAGGATAAAAATCATGAGCAGTACAGCCAACAACATTGCTCTAACATAAGTAGTTTCAATCAGCACTTTACTTTTCTCTAAATTTTCAGGAAAAAAATAGGGGAATTCTTTGATTGAAGTATCACTGACTAAATATGATAGATGATCAACTTGGACTAATGGTCTCAGTTTCCCTTTGTCAGCTCCTATTTGAGATGAGCTTGTAACTGTTCTAGGTAATAGCCGAATAAGAAACCCTAAGTATGATATATGTACTGAAAGCCTGAAGACTTGTATATAACTTCTTTTTTTACAAGTTAAAGTTTGCATAAAGTTGTAGAAAATGTTGAGTAGAATCATAATACCCATATGCTCTGAGCATAACAGTTTTCTTTATTTTAACATTATATATTTTTCTTCCATCTGTGATTGAGTAAGATAAAATTAGCACTTGGAAAAATATAAATGCAAATATTATTAGAAATGTAACTTTCAGGCATTTTGACATTTCTTTTGTCAATGTTAAGGTTTATAGCCTTTTAAAGTGAAAGTCAAGACAGCTAATGAGGTTCTTGTGTTTTTTTGTGTAGGAAACTTTTCAAACAGTAAAATGAGAGGAAAGAAAAATGGAGCAGTAAAGGTAAATAAAGTTTGTTGGAATAAATATCTTTTTCTTAGATAGCGTTCTTACTCAGTTATTAATACTTTAGTGCCTAAGGTATGTAAAAATACTTTATTATAATTATTACATGTCTTGCAGAAGTTTTTTTATTTTACTGTTTCAATAACAACTTTTTAATACTTTTAGCCTCGAAGATCAAATCAGTGTACAAGTCCTTGCATCAGAAATTTTTTCTCCAATATGTTTTCTTCAAGTAGTCACAGTGGAGAATCTTTTACCTACAGAGCTTACTGGTTAGTATTTTCTGCCTTTAACTTATGCTGTTTATACTTGATGTCTTAATCATAACTAATTTTGGTAGAATTTTAAACTGGGCTCCATAAAAGCGATGAAAACTCATTTTGTATTTTGTCTTTTTTTTTTTCCAGAAGGTTCTAGTAAAGTGAAAACTTTTAGCTGGGCATGGTGGCACATGCCTTTAGTCCCAGCACTTGGGAGGCATAGGCAGGCAGATCTTTGTGAGATTGAAGCCAGCCTGGTCTACATAGCTAGTGCTAGGCCAGCTGGGGCTACAGGGAGACCCTGTCTTAAAAAGACAAATAAAAATTAAAGAAAAAAAAAGAAAACTTGGTATTTTATGAACTTCCTTGTTATACCATGCCTACCTATGCCATCGAGCTTTGTTCTCATCGCTAAGTTGCTGAGTATGATTTTGATAGATGCTGGAGAAACAGGGATTTGTTAAGTTGTAAGTATTACCTATTAAAAAGGAACCATTTTAGAGCTGGTCCTGTCATCTGTGGCTCCATAGTGACTGGTAGGTATATGCTGTGCAGATGTTTGTGGAATTTCAGAGTGAAATTGCAGTTTTAAAATCACATAGGCTTGGTTGAACCAACAAGGTAGAACAGAACTGTGGTGTTTCAGGGCCTGGTAGAGTATAAAGAGCAATTAATTACATCTAAGTTACTTTTTGAAAAATTGAAACTAGATCCATTTTGGTTGCAGTAACCATACCTACCTTTATTTTCTTTTGTGTTATACACTTAATGTTGGAAACTATTGTCTGAAGTTAATGTCTGAATAGAAAATCTGAAAGTCTTCTAAATGACTACTTTATCAAGTGCCTACTTTGCCTTGACATGACTTTTTTGGTCTGCCTTAGTCAGGATTAATGCTGCATGGTAGAGCACTGTTGTAATCTAGCAGTGCAGCAAGAGGATCATGAGTTTGAGGTCAGCTTGGGCTACATAGTGAGTTCAAGGCTAACCTGAACTATGTATACAGCAAGACTCTCAAAAGACAAAAAACATTCTGCCACTTAATATAGAACTTAAGCATTTTTAGTATGCAATTAAATAAATCATGTGAAAACATTTTATTTATTGTTAGTGATCTTTTTTTAAATGTTTAGGAAAAAGGTTTTATTAAATATAATTTATAATGCTAAGTGTGAAAACTGTTGCTGTTATCATAATCCAGTTTTTACCCTGTACTTTAATTTTTGGAATTCTAATGAAAGTCTATAAATTTATTTTTTTTAGTACAGAATTTATAGAAGTCAGTGAAATCAGTGCAATGGTGAGGCAGAAGCGACAGGAACTGGAATTGTCATGGTTTCCTGGACTTGGAAGGTAAAAAAATAAAATTACTAAAATTTATATGCTCATGTGAACATGAAAATATCATTAAATACTTAAGTATGGGTACCATATTTGATAGTTGTCTTCCTAAGGAGATTTTGTATTAATTAAGCTTTGGTGTTTCAAATGCTTAATAAAGATGACTTTCAAAAAGAATCCTTGGAAAGTAAAACAAAACAAGACAAAATCCTTTATTCACCTATTTAATGAGTATATAATAGATTGATCTAACAGGGAGAGCGCCAGATGAGCCAGTCATTGTTAGCAGTAGCAGTCAGGCCTGTTTTCCTCCCATTCCTTATTCCCATTCCAGTTTCCTCTGTGCTCTCTGCTGAAGTGTTGCTTCTGTGTTTCCATTTTCAGATGTGTTCATCTAAGTAACCATTTGGTCAAGTTCCTGTTCTGGCTTGGTGTTCATGACTTTCTATTATCTAGTCCTCTCTTAAAAGTTTTGAAGTTCTGAGGACAGTGCCCAGTTCACAGTATTTAAGTTCCTAGTTCCACAAAGATCAACGATGCTTCTTGAGTTATCTTTATTTTCTGTAACATAACTTTTGTTACAATGATCGTGTTGTATGTAGTACTTTTGCCTTCTAGAAATGATGGGACCTAAATAAAAGTTAAATTAGAAACTTCATATATTTATATTGTGAATCATTTCCTCACAGTTGCATATGTTTGTGTATCTACAAGTTGTACATTCTTTTTTGGACATTTTCCTCCATCTGAATCTCACCTGATGCTGACTGAAATGTTCTTTTGTTAAGAGACTTATATTGAATATAGAAAATGCTTGAGTGAATTGGTTTTGAACACAGAAAATCTGGGTACTTTTAACTTGTCTGTGAGGTTGCTGGTAACTTTGAAAAGCCATCATCCTCATTGGAAATGCAATGTAGCAATAAAAATTCCTTCAATACTTGTCTTGAAGAGAGAAAAAGGTGAAGAATGTGAGGAGGTTTATTGAGAAGATGGAGATGATTTGTTTCTCATGTGTATACATCTATACATACTGCTTAAAAGTCATCAGATCATACACTGGAAGCTTAGATGTTATGTTGAGTTTACCTCAAAGTTGGTTTTTTTTTTTTAGATTGGCAAAGAGAATGAAAGCTAAAAGTCTTTTTTATGAGAGAGCTAACCGCATTCTTTTTTTTTTTTAAAGATTTAGTTTATTTATTTATGTCTATGTGTACATGTATCTGTGCATGATTTGTGTGCTCACGTGCACACTCAGAGGCTGGAGGAGGATGTCAGATTCCCTGGAGCTGGAGTTATAGGTAGTTGTTAGACATCATGTGGGTGCAGGGAACTGAACCCAGGCCCTCTGAAAGAGCAACAGGTGCTCTTAACTGCTGAGTCATCTTTCCAGCCCTACAAAAATATGC